AAAAAATTAATATTTATTTTAAAGTTTTAATAATTATTTATAATATAATTAAAACTAAATTATAAACTTAATATTATTTATTACTTATAGATATATAAATAAATAAAAAAAATTAATTAAATTATTAAAATATATTTAAAAAATTATATTAATTTTAATTAAAATAATTAAATTAAACTTTTATTTATTATATAAATCTTTTATAATAGTATATTAATAAAATTAATAAAATATTTACGGTTTTATATAAATTATAGATTTAAACTAAATATTTATAAATTATTAAAAAAAATATATATATATATATAAAACTATTATTATAATTAATAATATTAAAAAACTATATAATAAATTATAAATACAGCTTAAATTTATATAAAAAAAATAAATAAATTTATTAATATATAAAAATTTAAAAAACTAACTTTTTAAAAAAAAATATAGTTTATTTACTTTAATACTTTAAAAATAAAAATATAGTAAATATTAAAATAAATTAATTAAATAATAAATTTAATTTTAAAAAACTTAAACTATATAAAGTTTTAAAAAAAATTAATATTATTAATTATAAACTTAACTTTTTAATATAAAAAAAAAAATAAAGTAAAATAATATATTTAATATTTTATATTTTATTATTAAAAAAAATATTAATAAATAAAAAAATAAAAAAGGTTATAAAAAATAAAATTATTATTAAAAGTAAAAAATTTAAATATAATATTAAAAAATTTACTATAATAAAATTTAATAAAAAAACTTAATTACTTAAATATTTAATAAAATAAAAAAACTACTTTAACGTTAATAATATATAAAAACTTATTAAATACCTTAAATATTTAAAGGATTTTTTTAAAAGGTTTTACTAAAAGCTAAACTTAAAAAAGATAATAAAAAAAGATTAAAATTAAAATTACTTTAATTAATAATATTAAATATAGAATCTAAAGTTATAAGATTAATTAAATTAAGTAATAATATTATAGCTTAACTAAAGGCCTTTACTTTTTTATATTTAACTTTATTTAACTCCTTTAAATCGTTAATACTTTATATTATTATATAAATTATTTTTTTTAATTAAAATTATTTTTATTTATAAAAATATTTAATTTTTATATTAATAGTTTTATATTTCTCTTTAGTTTTTTTAAAGGTAGTTTTATATGAAGTATAAAATATAGTAATTTTATAAAGTTAAATAAATAATAAAAAATATATATTATATAAGGATTTATTATCTTTTATATATTGAGTATATTAAATAAAGTTTTCCTTAAATAACTAATACTTTAAGAAGTTTTGCTTTTTTTTATTAAAATAATATATATAGTTTTTTATTTTAATAAAATATAATAAAATAATTTCTAAAAGAATATTATAACGTTTTATTTTAAAATAAAGTTTTTTATAAATACTTAATATAATAGTTAATAAAATATATAAATAGTAAAAAAAAAATATTATTAATAAAAATAAAAAAAGATTATTATTTATATTAAAAATAGTAAGGTTTTAAGGATAAAACTAATAGAAAAGGAATATTATATTATAACCTAGCTCTTAAAGTTATAATAAAAAGTTAATAAATTAACCTAAATTAATTAACCTTAATCCTTTAACTAATTAAAAAAGGATTAAAATATAACTTTTTAATTTTATAAAAAATTAATAAAATATTTATTAATTTAAGTATAGATTAATATTTAAATTATTAATTTAACTTAAAGTAACTAAATATATAAGTTTACGTTTATATATTTATTTAAATAGTTTAAATAGCCAGTTATTAATATAATAATTAAATTAAATTTAGCTATTATATTTATTAACTATATAATATTAATAAAACTACATTTATATTTAACTTAGCCGCCCGCTAATATAAACCTAAAACCTAAAGGTTTATCCTTTAAAAACAGCTAACCTATACTAACATATAGGACCCAGTTTATTATAAATAAAAATAATTTATTTAATTTTATATATTATATTAATTTTTATTAATTATTTTATAATTTTATTTTATATAATAAATTTATATTTTTTATTAATTATAAAAGTTTTTTTAATATTATTTAAAAAAAACTTTAAATTTTTTTAATAATTTTTATAAAAATTAAAAAAAATTTTTTTTTATTTAATTAAAACATTAATATATTATTTATTATAAATTTATTATTAAAATATTTTTTTTTTAAAAAAATAAATATAAAAATTAATATTTTATTTTTTTTTAAAATAAAAAAAGTAATTTTTTTTTATTATTTATTAAAAGTTATTTATTTAATAATAATAAAAGAGTTTTTTATTTAAGTTTTTTAAAAGTTAATAAAGGCTATTATTATTTTAAAATTTTTAATAAAAGTAATAAAAGTAAATATAAAAGATATTTTATTAATAATTAATTAAATAAAGTAAGTTTTTTGTTTAATAAAAGGGTATCTAAAAGGTAGAGTACGTATAGGTGTAGGAGGGAAGCTTATATAATAACCTTAAATATATATGTATTAAATAAAGTACATAAACTAAAAAGTATAATTCAATGGATTACAGCGTCCACTTAGTCTAGTATAGCCATACCCTGGAGATGTGCAACTCCAGACAGCAGTATGTTGGTTACACCTGGCTGTTACGCAGCCGGCATCGGCAAATTTGAGGGGCTCTCCCTTCTCGTAGATCCCGCTGCAATAGAACCTTCTCAGTTACTATTGCTCCTTCTCCGCTCTTTTATTTCCCATCCACGCAGACGAAAAAACAAAACCACCAACGACAAGTCTATTGACCACCAATTTTGTCAGTCTCCAAACAACGCCGGCTGTACACACAAGGCATTATGTCACAGAACTCACGTCCAGCTCGGAGCAGAGGCTGCAAGCAGTGCATACAACGGCATGTCAAAGTAAGTCTTAGTTTTAAGATTGTTGGTCGACACACGTCATGTTGCATGCTGGCGTTCCTTGTCATTCATGATGGAAACTCTTCCCTCCTTACGGCCTTCTTCCAATCTCTGTCAACCAACACACATATGCATGCAAATAAAAAATATTGACATATCTCTCTCTTCTGAAGTGTGACGAGCGCCTCGTTTGCTGTAAGCAATGCTCCCGCTTTGGTCTCTCTTGCTCCGGACCTGTGCGTGGAGCCGTGTTCCTTGATATGACTAGCAAGATAATGAAACGCGAGAGTGGCCGACGCGCCAAGGCTGCAAAGTGCAGCGCAAAATCACCTGCACCAACCAGTATTCTGGAGGATATTGAAATCCCAGATGACGACCCAGTTCGACCAGTTGAGGAGCGTCCTTCACCTTCCCCGCCGACTGGCAAAGGATCCTCTTTAACTACCGTGACATCCGGAGTCGAATCCCCAGCAATCCAGTTTCCAGAAATGCCGGAATATCTGGAAGAGACAGTCTTCCTTGACGATGGCCCAAACGACTTCCTCACACAGCTAGATCTTGACCACCCTCTGCTCGGTATGGCCAACGAGCAAGGGCAATTTCTATCCAATCCTTGGTTGGATGTCGTTTGTAACAATGAATACTACCTTGTGGGCATATTTGTCGACTTCATTACAAGCCCCAGGCGTCGACAGCGCTCATGGGTGTTTGAACTACCCAACATCATGGCCTCAACGACGTTGCCGTCTGTCAAGTTCTCCATTCGTGCTGCGGCTCTCATATATTATGCCGTCTCAAATCGTGATAACGCTACTGCTGTGGATGCCCTTCATTGGTATCTTGCCGCTCTCGAGAGCTATCGCATGTCCCTCCATGGTTCAAGCCACAAGCCTCTTTGGGATGCAAAGGTGCTAGGGAATAGTCCAAATGCCTCGTCATCCCCTCCCTCTCTAGATCAAAGTGGTCATTGCAGCACAATATGTGTACCCATGATGTTTACCTACTTTGAACAAATGCAAGGCGTCACTCCGGACGCAGGCCTGAAGCACCTCAATGTGGCTTGCGATATGCTTGAGGCCATCGGTCCACATACCTGTTCCTTCGGACTACAACATAGAATTTTTCGATCTGTTCGTTCTCTTGAGGTAAGAATGCATCGTAAACCATTTTCCATTTGGTTTCTACAACCCACATCGAAGGTACATTGCCATAAATGCTAATTCCTTATCTCAGGCTTTCCAAGCCATCCTCCGAAACAAGTCGGCAAGGTTTGCTACCACTGACTGGTGCCAAATTCCTTTCGCACAAGACCCCAAGGGATCTTGGGATCGTATTGTTGATGTTGCCTTTTCATTTCTCCGCCAAGTTAAACTCCCCAACGTTGACGAGCCGGCTTCGAATATTCGTGATGGAGTTCGCGCTATCCAAGATTTGCCAAGAAAACAAAAGTTGGAGATAGAAGTGGCGGCCAATGGTGTAATGTCTCAGCTGGTGGACTGGTGGAAGGAATACGTCGGGGAGGATATAACAGTTTCTCCCGTCACTAAACACTTTAGCTTTGAGGACACATCGATATTAGCAGAGTCCTTGTCTCTGACCGTGTCGCAAGATTCCTTCATCTACGGCGATACACACACCGCAGGCGCCATCGCCCTCTTCAACGCCATAAGCATCATCATTCAGCACATTTTATTGCTCATCACGTTGTCGAAGCCTCCACAACCTAACCTTCATGAGCCAAGTTCCGCTGTGCTGGCCTTACAATCATCCATACATGTTCAGGCATCATCCATCCTCCACCTTGCTCGATGCATACGGGAGACCAACTCCTATTGTGGCGATGCATCGCGAGTCATTTTCGCCGTCAAAGTTGTTTCATTGCTTGCTCTGGAAGATGATCAACGGGACCAGGCTCAGGTTATTGCTAATGACCAGCCAGGGCTTTCCTTACTATCAGGCACCGCGATTGAGATGGTAACTCGGTGGTCTCACAGAACCATGTAGATGGCATAAAGAAGATCTATAGCAGAGCTTAAAAACAATACATTTATAACTGAATGTCTCTCTCGTTATATAGATGGAATGCAAACATCCATGTAAAATGTCGTATCGTACGGAGCACTGGACCCCAGAGAATCATGACCCGTCCGCACGCACAACTCTTGGCTTCCTGGAGCTTGTTTATATATATACAGATATTATCAACACCAAAGATAAGACTTTTTTAGTAATCGTTGTAGAGCAAGTATCACGCTGCCCATTGTGTCCACAGATTTTGGGTGGGAAATAAGAAGTCGGAAATATGTAATGTATGTAAGGATGTAGACCTGTGATTTCAGGACAAATACAACTACCTTCTATTGCCGAAACGGGAAGATTCCTGTTTATGGGTTATAAACTGTCTCTTGCCTATGATAGGGATGACGAGTTGCAAAGGCCCAGGCTGTAAACGAGGTGCTCCGGGATACGATGGAGTCTTTCTTGAGGGGGAGATCGTCATTGTCCTTGGCTTCCTGCAAAAATCGTGACGAATACCCAATATGGTAAATGAGCCCTGTACATAGTATCACATGGTGACTGATCATTATATATTCGTATCTGATTGGTTTCTATGCCCCCATCCAGTGGATCCCAGAGTCTGGCTGATAGGAATTGGAGTTGTGGCAGGTGGAGAAACCTACAGGCATCGCGAAAATTACCCAAATGGTAACTTGGAATTCTAGTGGCGTGGGCTCTTGTTTAATTGCGAGCAGGTATCTAGATTGTTGTTTTTTGTTGTCTGGTTGCAGCATATTTAACTGGTGCTTCATGAACCAAACATTCGATGAAAATTCATGATAACAATAATTGTAATTGTCTCGTTTTATCAGCCAAGTCATAATTTTTTTTTCTTACAAGATCATACATAGGGTTCCATTCCCTTTGTTTTGACCATGAAGCCATTTGCATTAGTTTGGCTCTTGCCAATTGTTATGGCTTCAACTAGAGGGCATCAGCCACCGGTAATACCGACCATTGAAGGACCAATCACAGGAGGTACTCATGAACACCCCTTCTCTGCCTGGGTTGGCGATATTTCAGACATCAGCTATGTTGAGGAAGAGTACTTCATAAGCGGTCACGCGTTCCGCTACAACGTAACTGGAAATCTTACTATCGACGGGAAATGGACTCTGGTTCCAATTGACCCCGCAAATTACAAGACGCGCATTCTGATCCGCCGACCTGCCAAAGAGGCCGACTTTAACGGTGACGCTATTCTCGAGTGGATCAACGTTTCTGCAGGCTACGATCTCATGATATCCGACGGTCCTGGAGTCTATGAAGCCGGTTTCGCCTTTGCCGGTGTTTCTGTCCAAGTGGTGGGCATTGTTGGCTACCAGAATGTCACTGGAATGGCGCCTCTGGGACTGACTGAATGGGACCCGGCGCGTTATGGCAGTCTAAACGTGCCTGATGACAGGTATTCGTACGATATTTATACGCAGGCAGCAAACCTGCTCAAGTCGGGCCTGATTCCTGGCTTGAAAGCCAAAAATGTCATTGGCACGGGCGAATCGCAGTCTGGTATCCGACTGAACGCTTACGCCAATGGCGTCCAGCCCATTAGCAACGCCTTCGATGCCCTCATCCCTGTCATTTCTTTTGGTCAAGCTTCCGACTTCAGTCGACTGATTGGTGCCCCATACACCGGCACGACTGATTTGGCACCAGCAGTACCAACACGCATTCGCACAGACCTGAAAATCCCTGTTCATCAAATAAACACGGAATCGGAGGCTCTGTACGTGTATGTTCAAGGATGTCGCCAGCCAGACACAGCATTGTATCGATACTGGGAAAATACTGGTGCAGCCCACGCCAACCTGCTGGTATTACAAAAGACCGCAGCCGTAGCGACACAAGATCAACTCCCGAACCAAATCCCAACCAACTCACCCACAATAGATCCTGTCAGCTGGCTGCCACCACTAGACGCCGCCTATCAGCATGCATCTCGTTGGATCCGCACAGGAATACCACCCCCAACCTTTCCACTGATGGAGATTGGGCCTTCTGCATCTATGCCCCTTGGAGTTGACTACATCCGCGACAGCCTTAATAACACTAAGGGGGGTGCTCGACAGCCAGAGATCACAGTGCCAATTGCCGCTTATAACGGAACATTCATTGGGGTGAGGACTAGCTTCACTGATGAAACACTGAAGAGCTTGTACCCCACAAATAAGGACTACGTGATAAAAATGAAAGTCGCCTCAAGTGTGGCTGTGAAGGAAGGGTTGATTTTGGGTTACCAGGCAAGCAATCTCGTGAATGGTGCAATTCATGCTAATGTACCCCCTTCCTAGTTACATAGGTATCAGATATAATTATATTGTTACTTTGTAATTCACTTGTTCTTATATTAATTAACATTAGAATAAACAGGAATAATATAGATACGGCTCCTATATAAACTATTAAGTAAGAAAAACCTATAAAAGTTAATCCAGATAATATTAAATAAACATATGAGTCATGATCCTCATAGTCAAAGATTCTTTAGATATTTAAGTTTATTCACTTTTATGATGATTATCTTAGTAACTGGTAACAATTATTTATTAATGTTTGTAGGATGAGAAGGTGTTGGAGTATGTTCATACCTTTTAGTTAGATTCTGATTCACTAGAATCGACTATTTTAAAAAATCCTAGATACAAAACAGGATGAAACGTTCAAGCAAGAGTTCAAATAAAAATGCATGAAAGAGATAGAGATTTAATGACTCAAATTCAGAAATTCTTTGGAGGTATAGGGTATATCTCAAACCCTAATAAAAATACTACTAGAGAATTTAGAGTTAGTACTATAAACGATATAGTTAATGTAATTATACCTCATTTTGATAATTACCCACTATTAACTAAAAAATACTCTGACTATGTGTTATTTAAAAATATTATTAAATTAATGTTAGAAAAAAACCATAGTACTTTAGAAGGAATACAAAAAATAGTTAATACTTATATATTTATAGGTAATAGTTATATATCATTTATTTTTGTAACCTAAGCTTTTATTTTAGTACTCCACCTCCTTTTACCGCAAGGTATTAAGAAAAGAAGAGAAATAAAATATATTGAACTCCGTATCTAAATTGATACGTATGGTTAATTATACTATATTAAGTACAGCTTCACTTGAATCTCAATACCATGAAGCCACCATTGAGATGGAAAGTTTTGATGTGAGAGAGTATTTTAGAGGCTAAATGTATGGTATTGTATGGAGCTAGTATGCTACTCCGTAGATACCGAGCGACGAAATTTAGTGCTCAAGTATGAGTTATGAATCCTGACTCTAAAACTCTCATATCCATTTTTTACCACCATACTTGCGAATTACACTAGCTGAAATCGGTTTATCGTTTGTTATCCATAGAAAGTTCTATTTTTAATGACTATTAACGTGAGCATTTGAGAACATCCTGAGTGTTAGAAATCTCTAATTTAACGCTACACTTGAGAAGAATGCCTTGCGTATATGTAGCCTCCGATGCCTCCGTCACCGCCCTCGATATATATACATACAAACATACAATGCACTCAACTGTGTGTTACTGTATGACATCGTTTCACTATACGGCGCGGAACCATTGAGACTATTGTAGATGACAATTAGTACGGTTCGCTCCGGGAGTCGGATACCGCCTATGACATTGCCATCGGCGACGCGTGCTACAGTTGGGATGCCGTTTATGTTTGGCGTCTGCATTTGGGAAAGGGTGACTCCTGTTTGGAATCTTTACACAAAAAATAGTACGAATTCCACACATTTCACTCTTGCAATTCAGCAGATTGAAATCACAAGCATGGCTATGCAGACACTGATGAAGCTGATATGGTGTCAAAGCCCAAACTGAGGGGTATAGGGCCGCGCCGATATTGTGCACATGCGACGCAGCTAAGTCAACCCAGCTCCCGACAGATGGCTGTACGGGAAAAGCTGCAATTGCTGCAACAGGAAGCAACCGAATGAGAGAGGTGTGTTACAATGAGCGCTCAAAAACAGAGAAATTTACTTTTCATATTTCACATCTCTTGATGATACTTCTAACGAGCTGCTGCTGGTCACATCGCGCTCTGCGGTGTGATTCGTATAAGTAAATCTCAGTGTCCAGTTCCAACTGGAAGTGAAACTCCGGAAATTTTCTTGGATTCATCGCTGAGAAGGTAAACAATTGTTCGAGCAATATCCTCAGGCTCCACTACATCATATCCCAGAGTTGTCAAGATGCTTTTGGCGTCTCCTGGGAAGAATTGTGAAAGCATGGGACTGTTTGTAGCGCCTGGATGTTTTCACGTAGTTAGGTGCTGGTCTTATCATACCCGATCGTGTTTTCAAGAAGATAGAAGGAATTATAGAAGTAGATTAATTACCTGGAAGCACCGTATTGACACGGATGCCAAAAGGCGCAACGTCCTTCGCGATACGGGCGCCCAAAGATACGACAGCAGTTTTAGCCACGCCGTAGCTCAAACATGAAGATCCATTGCTCAAAGCCGCCATACTGGACACGTTAACGATGGATCTCTCCGTATTGTCTCCCCTCTGGCGCAGGATATTCATGGCTCGCACTTGGCTGCGTGTGCAGTAGAAGACGCCGTCCAAATTCACTCCCATATGAAGACGCCACATCTCGTCAGACTCGTCCAGCAGGGTTGGTCCGGCTTCACTGCTCTGTCTAGCAACTTGAGGTACGCCAGCTACATTGGCGGCACCGTCAAGTCGGCCGTACTTCTGTACGATCATCGAAACCCACTCGTCCACAGCTGCTGGAATAGACACGTCAAGTGATGACATGTCGACGGCAGTGTTGGGATTCTCGCCACGAATCTCTTTAGTAGCTGATTCAAAGTTCTTCTTGTTCAGATCGCCAACGCAAACCGCGGCCGCTCCTTGTTTCGAAAGCATCTTCGCGACAGCGAGGCCCATACCAGAGGCGCCGCCGGTGATGGCAAAAACACGGGATGCGAAAGACATGGTAGTTGGTAATATATGATAGTATTTTTAGATGTTCTTTTTGCAATATTGAGGCGTTATCCGAGTGTGACCGCCGGCTATAGTGGCTTCATGTTCTCGTGGTGGAGGTGGGATATAGGGAAGCCTATTAAGGATTTGATAGTGGAGGTTCATATTGGGCTGTTCCGATGAAGTTGGTGGGGTTATTTACCTTCTATTTCTTGGCGAATAATGATTCAATTGGGTCCCCGATCAGGGTATAGACTAATTTCGCACTTGAGGGAAATTTGCGGGGAAATTTGGGCTTCTGCTGGCGAAACATCGTCGGGGATGCTGAATCAGGGAATCTTCCCGACAGACATATGTTGGTGTTAGTCCTGCATTAGCTTAAATCCACTAGGATTTTTATAACAATTCCTTGAGCCTCTGGGACCGCTCTGTAAAGGTACTTTTCTTTGAAGGACGGAAATTCCTCGTGTGACATACGACTATCAAACTTAGTGATATAGTCACCAGCATTACCGAATTTCTGAATTTCAGTGTGGACATGAAACAATACTTCTCTCTCCTTTATCTCTAGTTTTCATGAAACTGATAGGAATTTGACAAATAATGAACATACTCAACCCAGGTACATTCCATTGTCTCATGGAATCATGGAATCGAATACCCTTACCGATAGGGTTATTTCTGTGCAAATGGCAGTGGACTTCACATAGACCGTGATTTATTTTGTAATTAGGAAACATTCAAGTAATAAGCATTAGAAAAAACGAAACTTCGAGTGAGACTTAGATTACTAATATTCCCAGCTGAGTACTTTATCTACAGTTCTTGAATAGTAGCACACAGATGCTCATGCTCTTGCACTATATTCAACAGTAGCCGAAAACCTCCATTCACTCTATGCTCTCAAGTATCCTTAAATTGATTGTTAGAATAATAACAGCTCTGATAATACTCCGTATATCATGATATAGAGGATTAACTAAGTACCTGATGAAAATTGATTTCGGCTCTGTATAGGCCATCAGCGCATATCTTGCGTTCTCGCGGCCCAAGCCACTGACTAGTTCCCAAGTACTATTAGAACTTGTTACTTTGCTGCAGAAGGTTCAATCTTGACATACTCTTATTCCCTCCAAATGGCATTTGGGGGCTCATATTCTCAGAAGTATTGATTGCAACCGTGCCCGACTGAATCTTGGATGCTACTCGAAGCGCCCGGCTGATATCATTGGTGTGTATGAAAGCTCCAAGCCCATATTCCGTATTATTTGCCATTTCGATCGCTTCAGACTCTGTCTTGAATGTCTGGACAACTGCTACCGGCCCAAAGATTTCCTCATGCAGGATCCTCGCACCTGGCTTGGGATTGACGAAGACAGTAGGCTCCACATACAGACCCGGGCGTTGGCATACTGAGCCCCCAACGAGTACTTCGGCCTCCTGTTTCCCCAAATCAAGAAATTCAGCAACTCTTGTGTGCTGTTGTAAATGAAATAGGGGGCACGATAGCGTGGAGAGCTCCATGGGATCCGAGCCTAATGTTTTGGCATGCTCTTGGATCAGCTGCTTCAAAGCCTGTAGGAAGGGGTCGGATATCTCCTCTTGAACAAGTATGCGCGTCCCTAAGATGCAACCCTGGCCATTAAATGCTAGAAAGTTAGAGGCAGCACGGGCGGCATTGTTCAAGTTGGCGTCTCGGAAAATGACGACCGGTGACTTGCCTCCCAGTTCCAGAGTCACCCGCTTTAAGTTGGACTCTGTCGCTGCAATCTGAACCTTCTTACCAGTAGCGACACTACCCGTGAAACTAATCTTTCGAATACGCTTGTTAGTAGCGAGGGCATTTCCCACATCTGCGCCGCCGATCAAGACGTTGATGGCGCCATTCGGTAACCCTGCTTCTGTGGCGAGTTCTGCCAGACGCAGCGATGATAAAGAGTTAAACTCGCTACCCTTGATAATCATTACGTTCCCTGAGGCGAGCGCCGGTGCCACCTTCAAGGCAAAAAGAATCATAGGACTGTTGAAAGCTGTTATGGCGGCGCAAACCCCAAGGGGCTCATGAACGACCATCTGTGATAGTTTAATACTCATGGACGTACAAGTATCAATGTGTTCGATAATTGCCTCGAGACTCACTTTAACAAGTCCATCTCCTAATGGGTAGCTCTCACCGCTCAGTTTGTCTGTGTATCCTGCGTAATCTTGTCATAGTCAATTTTTGACATCTACGAAAAACTTCCCAACGAGTTGTCACTTACACCGTAGTATGTTTGCAAGTTGAGGAACCTCATAGCCAGAAGCAAGAACCATTGGCTTTCCTGTAACAATGACCTCGAGGTATGCTAGTTCCTCAGCATGAGATTCAATTAAATCCGCGTATCGAAGCAAATAGCTACGACGTTTTTCCTATTTTAAGCTGTTATTTTCAATGTGATGTTGAAATGAGGGAGATCTCGTGAAACACACAGGTGAGAGCGCTTGCCAATCTTTTAAGCCTTTTTCTGCGGAATCCACAGCGAGTTCTACATCCTCCAAAGCGGCCCATTGTAGATCTGTCAGTCTCAGAAAAGGTGAGTGAGCACGCGGTATTTCTTCCCTGAATACAGGAGTACGAACCAGTCATCACTTGAGATCCATCAGTGGCTGAAGTGAGCTCATGTCTGTCCTTACGATGGGAGTCGACAAACTTTCCATGCAGAAACGGTTGACGCGGCAGTCGGAACTTGAACTGAGTCATGTTTAATGCCGTATATAGAGTGTAAACAGAGACAACTTCTAGCAGAGGCAAGGCTGAGGCCTAGAATGGATAAACGAACTTCCTCCTATATCCTAGAGCAACCGTCAACATTCGATAGCGAAGAATTTTGATTGATGTACCTGGTCTATTCCAAAATTGAAAAGTATTAAAGACCATAGGACGATCGGTTAGTTATATATCGTTAAGAGCAGTAATCACTCGAAGTAGATCCTACTCTATGTGGCAGCGCTCAAGGTGGTAGCCAGGTTGCCTCTGCTGCATTGCCGTGGGAAGTTATCTGCAGTAGCTAACACAGAAGTAATATAGCGCATACAACGGTCTAACCACCTATTGCTCTGTATCAAACCATGAAAGAGTCACTTTATGATTGTTTAGGCGTGTTTACAAACGCTGGGCCAGATTTGGTATAGGCTTAGGTTATTACAAGTTCCAAAACCCGTATTCCAAGCCTCTTATGCAGCCACCGTGATGACTTCCTATTAGAGGTTAGACAATTTTTTACCAAGGTACCAGATAAATGACCGGGCCTGGCTATTTGCAGGCCAATGCAGGATGGGAATGCGACGTGGTACATCAGACTAGTATGGAGCGGCCATATATCGCGCTCAAGACCTTGGACGCTCACATATTATTCGGCCGAGGAGATGCAAGCCTTCAGACGACGTCTATTGGACCTTGGGAAAGCGCGCACACGTAGTAGAGGGATATATTTTAGTAAGGCCGGCCATATCGGTGGCTAAAAGGTAGTTGAGACCCTCTTCAGGGATGGCGCCTAAGCATAGCAAGCAGCCCAACCGGCGTAGTTGGTAATGTATTCGCAATCTGGGCTAATTGTGTGGCATGTGGTGAATGTGTGTCTTGGTGGGATCGTAACATCCGAACTCTAAACGACCGATTTGTTCACTAGGCACTGATTTTTAATTCCGAAACTCCGCCAGCCCATATAATCCAAACCAGAATCCCATCCAATAATTGCTATTTTACACAGAACCAAAATTCACGATGAGCAATTTTTCAGATCCAGAAACTGTATTATAGTAACCAGTGCTCTTGAATCTGTAATAGGAAACACAAGTGTGCTTTATCATTTGCTTCAATTACTCCTGCAACTATGTCGCTCATACTAAAAGCATGTAATGCCAGTAATGAGCTTGGAATAGCTAAAATTTTTACCATTCTTCAATACAATCTTGCTCTTTACACACCTTGAAAGGTACCACACGTTAAACCTTTGTGGTAACCCCGCCCCCCTTCGTTCGCTATTGTTGGACTTGCCACTATGATTTAAAAATCTTCAAACGACGTGCTATTTACTCCGTTGGCGAATGACAATATGAAGCCGCCAACTCGTCTTGTTTGTCCACCATGACACAACAAGGCTACGAAACAGTCGCGGCCATGTTACACTAGTGCCCATGTTCCCCAGACATTATGCGGACCGTGCAAGCTATCACGGCACATTCATTATTGCTAAGATGTCGATCATCTGTCCAACTGCCAGTGGCTTTCCACATCTGCCAGGGATCTGGATGGACGACCAAGTGCTGGCATGGAAGGCTGTGATGTCTGCTTTACATGCCAAAGGCTCGCACATTTATCTTCAGATAGGTTGATTGGGCCGCGTCACCATCCCTGAGGTGCTGGCGGAAGATGTCTCCTTGCATGGGATGGCAGACTCAGTCCGTTTTGCAGCTCCCAATCCAATCGACATGGACAAGGACCATCCAGTTTCAGAAGAGTCAACCGAGAAGGAAATTCAACTCCCCGTACGGGATTTTGCTAAGGCGGCCAGCCGAGCTGTGTTTGAGGCTCTATTCGACGGTGTTGAGGTTCTGGGGGTTATGATTATTTGTTTAACCAACTCTGTCAACATGTCAGTAATCGGCGTACAAATGGTTACGACGGTAGCATTGAAAATCAGTCCCGACTTGTTCTAGAGGCTGTTGCCGCAATTGTTGACGCCGTTGGCCCCGAAAGTGCTTCAATCCGTCTACCTCCGTGGAGCGCTTGGCAAGGTATGAAGATGAAAGACTCGATGTCGCAATTCCGTCACATCATTAGAAAGCTCACTGAAATGAAACTCTCATATTTTCATTTAGTTAAAGCCAGCGAAGCAGGCATTTACAACGAGCTAGGCACGGATTTAGGTATCAAGCCTTAGTATGGTATAACAACTCATCTCTCCTCCCCTCAACCGACGATATGAATCTTAGACATTTGGACAAGTCTTTGCAACAACGTTTCTACTTCTCTAGCAGAACACACTCATGGTGCAGAACCCATAGCCCTTTCCCATCCCATCTCATTTTTTGGAGAGCCTCCTGCAAATGAAACTCGTTGATAAGCGCTGCCGGGTTATTATTCCACTGGAAGCTCTTGACAAGGGATTTCTTCACACCAAAGACTAGATCTGAGGTGATGTGTTCGCTGTCACTAGCATATAAAGCTGTCGTAAGATTGAGATAAAGGGGATGTTTTAACTGAAAATGCTGTGCAGTGTTAAAACTTGACTAGACGTCGTCACGGTGGCCGTACATACCACATGTGCGGGACGCGTAATATTCCGTTTCAATATATTAAGCAAAAGTCCGACGGATCCGTCAATTGGGATGTCGTAGTTGACACTCTTCACGCCTACCAGATAATATCGACCTCGGCTATCAGTTTGGAATATGCCTCGACAATTTGGTCCATCGCGCCTGGGGTCTTGCATGTCGTAGAACCCATTTCCATTCGTCTCCCAAACATCTACAGCAACACCCTCGATTGGGAAACCACCGACCGACCTTACCGTTCCGTGTATAAGCATAAGCTCTCCTATAACGCCAGGGGAGCCAATTGATTGCCCATTAGTAAGGGTATGCGTATCTTCAGAATGGAAAGGCCCAAGGACAGATGACTCTGTTGCCGAGTTGACCTTTGCCTGAGCAGAATTTATGGTGTCAACCAGTGCAGACACGCCAAGAACATCAGACAGCAGAATCATCTCCTGCCTATCAGTTGATGAGTCATGGCCAACCTGGGTGAAGCCCATATATCAGCAACATAAACAAAAGATATCTGTGCCACTAACAAAAGAAGTGCCGCATAAGGTTGTGCGTACTTGGGTAAGGTATTGAATAGCCGCATCCCATTCAGCTGGCTTCAGCTGAACTTGTTTAACGTAATCGTGCAAGTGCTGTATTAAGCCGGTAACCAACTCAATAAGACGTTCGTTCTTGACATTTTCCGTGGAAACCTTGATGACATGGGGGGTGAGGTTTTCGGCGGTCAATTCCTCTAAATCGATGTCCATTTCGCCAGCATTGAAAGGCAGTGAAGCCAATATTGAACGATTTACACGATCAGCAGTGAGTGGTCATATTTTATAGATTGTTCCGGAATTCAACACCGGAATGCTTCCGATATGCCAAGCTCCGCTGTCGCGGCTAATATTTAGCAGTTCCAGCCTTCTAATGCTAAGTTATCTTTATGTAATCTAGAAGAAAATACGCCTGATTTCAAATCAATTCATAACCCGGTGGCAAGTGCTGACACTGATGGGCCGCTGGATTGGACGAATGATAAGTTCGGCATCAGAAGTCGGTTGCCAAAGCTTGAATTTGCCTAAAGTCGCAGAGTATTCAGCACACAATGACATTCCTACTGCTTAGTCCCCGTGCTCTGAGGTTGCCCGCACCATTCTCACGCTCTTGATTACTTTTTGAGAGCCAAAATTAGATGAGGTTAGGATTCAGAGTGTCTGCTTTAATTTAAATGTGCCAACTGGATGCGCTGACAAGATAATTGATGTCAATTGATACATTAACAAGAGAAAAGCTCTTCTTTGAATGAATAACGAGCTGGTTTTGTCGTCTCGACAAACAGGTCATCAAGTGCAAGTGCAGAGATAAATCTCAAGTTACGTGAAAAAATGCTGTAAAAACTTGTGCTGTAATCGTTTGGTTTAACCAACTGGCGATGCCAATTGGCTGTATATATAGTCTTGATATATACATGTAACTTTGCCAGAAGCTACATGTATTGATTCGCTAGTCCAGCCTTTGCTTGTGAATCATGCATCAGCTTTTTGCGTACTGTATTTTGCAATGATTCCAATTCATTGACCAATTCTATAGATTTACTCTCGTCAAAGAAATTTGAAAGCAGCTTAATGAATAAGCATTCAGCTTGCACTATGTTCACTCTACGCTGGAGTACGGACATAAAAAAGTAGCTGCACCAAGTGTCAGTTAGATCACAGCTTGGAAAGCGGTGGCTGTGCCAGGCGGCTTGTTGGCTCAATTCTGCTTCGCGTGGCATAACCTGAATTGGAAAATAGAGCCGCTGTGGGCGATACACTGTGGAATTTAGAAAGAGAGTGGCTCATTCCAGGGTGTTTGAAGCAATCGGATTTCGAATAGGGTAACTTATGACAGATTCTACATTCATCTGAATTATGAAGATCGGGGCATTATTCCATAGTTGTCTTCATTGTATCGTAGAGTTAGTTTTTACAGCTGTTCCCTTTCTACATTAACTTTAACATCTATCGTCGATAATCACCCAAAATGCTATTACTTGTTGTTATGCCCTTTTTACAGTATGCCTTAGGTTTTCTAGTGTTGCGTGTAGTTATATACTCTCTGGCTACACTAGTGAGAGACCTGTAAGGGCTTAGGTTGCTTTAAGTCCACAGTTAATGTATAGGTATTTTCTTTATTTCAATAAATGATTTAGTCAATACTTACTCTAGGGTATGTATCTTCTGTTGCAATGCTGGAGCATACTGCAGCCAGCCTGCTACATCTTCGGCTATACTCCCTATAACTGCTGGTACTGGCTTACTTGAATTTAAGCTAACCGCTGCTATTACAGGTGTAACTATAAAAGTTAAGTTGTATTATACTAACCTAACTAACTCTTTTGCTAATATAAACTTAAAACTATCGATAGGTTTGTCCCTTAGAAATAGCTAGCATACAGTACCTATTGGAAACTGGTTTGTTATACTACACTTAGAGCTACTGCATCAGCAAGTATATTCTGCAACATACGTGCTGGAATTAGTATTCAGGCATCTTCCCCATAAAGAGGTGATTCAGCCTATCTCAAGAGGGGTACTCAACACTATTGGTTGGCTCAGCCAAGCCAAGTCACACCTGACAGTTGCATAACCAGCCTGATTCTCTTTTCGTAAGGGCCAATTATGAAATGTATTAGAGAATGACCCCGCGATTCGAGTCTCGCGTGGTCCGAAACAGAGTCTGTCAGCTTCACGGGATGTCAAAAGTCGCGCACCACAACGGTTCCTCTACTCTCATTCCGTTAACGACGATTTTCTCAAAAACAGGGTGCTTCCTTTCTGCTTATTGCTTCCCTTTGAAGCCTTGAATGTGAGACTCGAGCACAGGTGTTGTAGACTCTGACAATGAGCGCCTCACTTGGCAAATTCACATCCGCCTTAATGGCTGCCTCGCAGGAGAACACTGTGGCACTAGCCGCTCTTAACTTCGACTTTTCGCTATACAAAGTGGAGGCGCCCAAGGAGTATCAAGCGCTCGGCTCCTGCCTCTCTGATGAGCGACGGATTCTGGCTGAGGGTGGCTCCCAGCATCTCACAGCACGCAAACTCGGCGCTGTTTTCAGAACTAGGCTACCAGCAGTGCCTCATCTTCTAAGGGCATTTGGTGAAAGAGTTTCGGAGATCGCTCAGAAAGCGACCTCTAAACACCAAGCTTCTAATGGAGCCGCCAGCAGTCCACTTAGAAACGTCTTTGCGCAGAAGGTGGGGATCGACGGGACCTCGATCTGGGCGGCAGCCACATCGGGAACAGAGGCTCTTTGCGCCCAGCTCCTTGCCTGCATGTTGGCTCGCTTCTGGGCTGCTGACGAAGCGACGTCCATTTGGGCGGAGATCCTGGAAGCACGCAAGATCGAACTCTCAGAGAGAGGGGGGAACTTCGACATTCCCGAACTGGCCGCAATGCAAACAACCGTCTCTCGCGACCAGCTCGCTGATTGGGATGCCAGCGCTAGGGCGTGGCTCAGAACCGCTGATGCAGTGAATCTTAAACAGCAGTCGCAACTCCGGCTCATCATAGAGAACCTTAACGTTGAAGTGAACCAGAGGAGAAACACTTACGAGAGTGTCATGGAAGTTTGGTTCGAGTCAATGAAAGTGGTCGATAAACTTGTGGCTGGCGTTCCCCAGAGTGTTCACAACGGTGCAGTGTTGGTGGGATTATCCGCATAGCATCTATTTCCTGATATGATTGTCTATGCTGGGGGGTGCAAGGAGATTGTGCAAGGCGATATGATCAAGGAGGGCGGCATTCTCACGGCCGGGCTCGAGTCAGCCGCCGATTTCGAGGCCGAAGTCAGATGGTCACTGCCCCTGGCGAAGCTTCGCTATTACGGGGATCCTCTGGAATGTGGTCCAGTCGCAACTAGGCGAATCAGTTGCCCAACAAACATGGCTGAAGTATCTCGGCAATGCGGCTTCTGCATTTCTAGATGCTAGTGTTGAAGAACAGAAACCTCTTAGAAGGCTGTTTGACTTTGGCACTCGTCGAGGCGGCCAGTTTCTAGCCATGACTGATACTCCTCGATCTACTTTCAAAATAACTTGGAACCAGCAAACGCTTGGCCTGACAAACTTCGAAGGCTTCTTGAAGGGGCTATCTAGGCCCGAATTGCGAGTCGAGTATTTGCGAAAGGCAATGGCAGATGTTGCCACACAGAAAGAAGCAGGAGATTGGATCATCGCATACCGAAATCAACTATGCTTTTGCTACGGTTTTCCCATGGACTGGTTCTCGGAAGTCCGCAATGAAGTATCACTGCACATGGAATAGGGGGTCATTTGAGCCCCAACCGCCCATATCCCCTGAACTGCAAACCAACTCTGAACAGTTGGATCCAGAGGTTCAAATTGTTGGAATTGGGAAAGAGTGGGATTATCACTTTTCATTCCTAAAAGACCACAACACACACAATGGACCCAGGACACACGATAATACAACCTCACTCCTTTTCAGTCGGACCAACAAACAAGGCGGCGAAACGAGAGAATTAACTCTTCGGTATCTAGCAAATTCCAAGAGGTTGAATGAAGACTCTTCAACTATTCGATTCGAGCTCTTCTTCGGCGACGCTGAGTTCGGGGCGGTGTTCAAGAAAACTCAAAAATATGGATTCAAGATGAGAAATCGCAAAAAGGATCATTCAATTGAGTTTGAAGATATAATATCAGCCCTCTCGAGCAATGAAGTGAGCCTCGCGGAGTGCGATATCATGAAACAATCTCACTGGCGGCCCTTGCAAGCCCTGGGCATGGTCGGATCGCTTTATTCGAGCTTAGGGTCTGCTAGCATATCTTTGGACGTCATCAACCGGAAGCTTGCTCATTTCAACTGGTGTCAAAAGACCTCGACTCCTGGTGAATTGTACATGGCACTGCAAGCGGATCAGGCTACGGCATTCTCTTGTATTGCTAGTATGGAGACTGGAATCCAGGACCTGGACCCTGACATGCTCAAAGAAGTGATGGTCTTGTCTGTAGGTGACTCTACCTACTCTCTATCCACCTTGTCCTCAGATCCTCACACCAAACCGGATACCCTGCTCTCCAATGATGGCCCTGTCACTGAACGCACTTGTATCGTCCGTACCTTCGGAAATGTGGGCAAGTACGGCATCTCTCTATTGATTCCGCCACCCGAACTCAAGATGCGCAAACCAAAGAGCGGCGAATGGAATGTTATCAATCATGATATTTGGGATGGCGCATCTGCTGACTCATTCGGGGAGACGTCACTCCATTTGTTCCTCACCGAATACCGAGTTGCTTATACTTCTAGCCATCGTGGGAATCGAGATATACAGGCTTTTTTCCAGGAAGCTGCAATATCGATCTACGATGGGAAAACCTGGGTAGGTGATGTTGATGTTGTCAGGGCTATGAAGCATGACTCAGCCATGTTGCTTAGAGTCCCCGATTTGCGCAAACACGGAATATTTGGGATGAAGGAATGGGAGCCAGTGGGACGCCGGGAGATTTCGAAGCGTAAGGAGCAGTTGAAAAGAGAGGCGTTGGCTAACGAGATTGCTTGTGTTGATAACTGGTACGAGCTGCTGGATAAACCAGATCGTCCAGTCCTGGTACGCAGCCGAGGAAAATGGCTTGGCCGTCTCGCGGCGGCATCGATAAGCCTCCAGCTTGGCCATAGGGTTGTGTTGTTGCCTAATGACGGGTGTCCGAAAGGTTGTTTTACCGATGTCAAATTTATGAGGGATTACTTGGTGCGGACGGGGGATGTCATTATAGATGTCATCAATTGATCTTTTGCGTTCTTGACGTCTCTGGAGTAGTGGAAGCGACCTTGGCCGACGAATGGGCGACTGCGATGAGACTCGTAAAGACGCTAAAAGCTCCTTCGCTCAAAGAGATTGCACTCTCGCTGGCCTGGCGTCAAGAAAGACTGGAATTACGAGTAACTGTTACGAGGGCTGTGGTAGTAATTGCAGCTATAAGCGCCAGTAAAGTGTGTAGTATATACTGCCATGCGCATCTTGACAAGATGGTAGGTACTTTGGAGACTTTGGACATGTGATGGTAGCATTAATATATACCTTCTACGTTGAGTCGCGGCTGAAAGGTATGTCTTGGGGCATGCCTGAGCTGCCTTCGATAGACTTGATATCTGTGCGTAAGGTTCCTCGCGCATGATTGCCATTTCCAGGATGGGTCGAAGCCAGTTGGATACAAAATGGTTTATCTTTTAGTCAGCACTAAGGCCCTGTGCCTTACTTAATTAAGTGCTTGCATATGCAAGGGGAAATTTTTTTTGAAACGCTCATTTCCTATGAGACTATGCTCTTGCTTATTTAGGCAGGAGTTAGGGCAATATTTTGTCCTATTATACAAGGGGTAGGCTTACCAAAATACCTATTTAAACTAATCAATGCCAACTACAACTAATCAATGTCAACCACCTACCCTTTTATAAAGACTTTGTTAATACCTAAATAGGAAGATATATAAGGCATCTTATGGAGGATCAAAATAAATACATATCTCACATCTAGCAACGTTACCTATTCTACTAAATATATTACTATGACATTACCAGGTGCGTTATGTTTTACTACTTCCGATTAAAGCGGAGGTGTCCTCTTCAAGGGTACTGAATTACGTAGGATAGCTGTTTCGAGTTGGTAACTGACGAGAACCATACCAAGAATAATACCGACTCAATCTTACAGTTTCCACAATTGGCAATCTAGACTTTTTCTTCCTCTTGTTAGACTAGCTCCTTGCGACGAACGTATTGTCTGATGCACGGCCCTTAGACTAGCTAGATTAAGTTTTAACAGCATGCTAGCGTTTTACCTTTTCAAATAAAGCATTTTTATGAGCAGACTGACTTCCCAGAATGTAGGATCGTGCGACGTCGTTAATCTTAACGCGGATAACATGGGGGCTCTTAGGCCTAGGATAATTTCAATTGACTACATAAGTTTAAACGACGGGGTTACATCCCAAAACACAAAGTAAGTCATGTAACAATCTCGAACACAGGCGCCTTATCATCACACCTACTCAGACTGGTAATAACAACTCAGAATCACACCTACTCAAAATGGTAATGGTATTTCAGAACTACCTAGTGGATCTTGCTAACTAGTTGCAAATGATCTATATAAGAGCGAGGATATATCTACGGAGACAATGAAGATCTTAACCACAAAGCTCTTTAGCAGCCACAGACTTTACAAGGCTCTTCGCCAACTGCCAATTATCTAAGTCTAAAGGCTTATAGTCTACCTTCAATATTTAACAATGCGTCGATCATTCACTACATTCCTTGCCCTTTGCTTGGCTTCCGGCGCCATGGCCATGCCTCATGGCAGCCTGCTTGCTCGGACAACCTCTCCGGATGGAACCTGTGGTGGTACCACTGGCTATACTTGTGCGGCTGGCTTCTGCTGCTCGACCTTTGGTTTCTGCGGTACTGGTACTGCATTCTGTGGCAGTGGAGGAGGTGGTAGCACCCCTCCTTCCGGCGGTAGCGGTAGCTGTTCATGGGCGGGCCACTGCGCTGGTGCTTCTTGCAGCACTGAGAATGACTGCTCTGATGACTTAACTTGCAACAATGGTATCTGCGGTACCAGCGGTGGCAGCAGCCCTCCTAACGGTGGCGGTGGCAACCCTCCTAACGGCGGCGGCGGCAACGGAGCCATCACCTGTACCTCTCGTGTGTCATACAGCGGTGATGGCTCGACTGGGGCTGGATGGCCTGCACAGAGCGCCTGGGCTAGCTTCGACAACTTATGGAATGCCAATCTTGGCGCGATTAATGGCGCGTGTCAGAACAATGGATGGGGTGTGGCAAATAACTCTCCTACAGAGACTTCGCAAATCCAGGCCGCTATCCTTAGCCTTGCATCCTCATCCGGTGTCGATTCGCGCTATATCTTGGCGACTATAATGCAGGAGAGCAAGGGATGCGTGCGTGTTCCAACGACGCAAGGATTCTGGGCAAATCCCGGTCTGATGCAGGATGCCAACGGCTCACACACCTGCTGGATATCGCCAGGCAATGGCATCAACCCATGCCCAAACAGCCAAATTGTAGGCATGATCCAGGACGGCACCACAGGAACTTCTTCTGGTGATGGCCTGAAGCAGCTTCTTGGCCGTCTGTCGACTACTGGAGCCCAGCAAGTTTACCAGGCTGCACGACTTTATAACTCAGGCAGCATCCCTTCCAATGGAGACTTGAGCGGGCCTGGTGCTACTCCCTCGTACTCCTCAGACATTGCCAACCGTTTGCTCGGCTGTGTTTTTTAATTAAGTAGTATTATACTATCTTGATTATGAATGATAGCAGGGCAGACAATGTATATAGCCGCAAGGCATCATATATGTTAAGGAGATGTATGTATTATGGAGCTGTTTATAATTCTTGAGATGTATATATTATGGAGTTGTACATATTTTGAAGACGTATATATTACGGAGATGTATATATTGAGAATGGAAAATATTCTATCTACGAGAGATGCAAACAAAGTAAAATGAATATCTCTAAATGAAAGCTATTGCTCTCTTTTTTGATAAGAAAAGAAGAAGCACACTCAGCCCAACGCCAAAATCTACAATGTGGCAAATTACCCAAGAGGATCGTAGATCCATACGTTTGCATATTGATCCAGAGATCTCAAATGGCCAAAGATCCAGAACTGGCGCTAACTATAAACCTGTTCCTCAGTAGCTAGTTATTCAATATCCCTAGTTAACTTCTGGTTTCGAGTTGCTTAGGAAGCGATTTGACATTGTCATTCAATGTCGCTGGCGATCAGCTCCTGTCCATGGTTTCTGAGTAATCCTCCAAGGGGCAAATGAGCAAGTCCCGCGCCGCCTTAGCGATAGAAGTCATCATATTATATCCTTGCAACTCTCAGTACTCATGGCTATCCTCCTTCTCAAGACGGAATCGCTCATCCTTGGTCATTTTGGCTCTGTGGATCCGTCTGATCTCCCGTACAATCCCCTCAAGATCCTCCTCGGAATATCGGTGCAGCTCTAAAACATACTTGTCCTGTCACACTTACTGGCGTGCCACATCGGCAGTCACATTCTAAGAAAGACAATGCAGTAATATATCTTCTTCTTCCAACCCTCGGAATAAAGCAATGACAAGTCCCAAGCCTCTTCACATTCATCCACACGGACCCGACGCCTCTGGTTGTCTAAGGACCAAGTAGCGGATCGACATAGAGAGATATGGTGAGGATGAAAAGAGTGTATTGGCCGTTCTTATGTACCGCACTAGGGGGCGTTAAATCTCCAGGACAATGTCGTTGAACCGAGCAATCGTGGCGGGGGCCTCTTCTCTCGTGAAAAGAAGCAGGTTTTTTTTTTGGTTGGTTGCGGACAAGGAAATGTCTTGGTTGGAGTGACGCTTGTACCACCTGCGACCGTAACTATTGGGCTCTGCTCCGGAGAAGGCATGGCTGTCCCATAGCCAAAATCAGGTCGAATGCCGTCTCTTGCCGACGGCGAATCCATCGTGGAGTATCTCCCAGCTTGAGCGCCGCTGGCTGCGCCGACAACTGTTGGCATGACGTCGTGCTGCCTCGCGATATTGAACCTGAGGCAAACGAAGCCCGCAATTTCATGATCATGTTTTCTGCAGGCTGAAGATGTCTGGAGGAGTAGTGAAAAACGGGACAGCTGAGCATTGACAAAGGCGCAACCGGCCCCCAGCCAACACCTCCTTCCCTCCACGTGTCAAGAGATGAAAGCTCTGCAGAATACAAGCTGATTGAAGCAAAGCTCAGTTATTGTCTCGAGAGGACACCCTTGGGACTGCGTGCACTTATAAACGAGGACAGCAGCGCCCATTCTCGTATTTCTCCCCCCGAGTTCACAATGAATGTCTCCCCCAATTGCCGAATTAGGTCCTTTTCCCCCTACATTGATCGATTTATATGACCCCCAATTTCAGACGCTGTGTTAAACAATTTGGATCTGGATGTCATATGCTCTTTGCTAAATTGTGAGACCCTACGTCTGGGAAGATTGTCTGCATCGTTGGCTTCTGACACTCGCGCCCGTTTTTCTATACTACAAGGGGGTGACGAGATCCTACGTTCCCGAATCGCTTATTCTTGATCCGAGAGCACTGAGGTGTCATCAAGACTTGATTGATATCCTTCGTCTTCTTCAGGAAAAATCTTCTCTGCCGCGGATACAACTGACGAGAGAGTTCTTCTCGGCAAGAAACAGCGCGGTGAAGCAGCCGCTGCCGCTTGCTGACCAGAACCGGGCCTTCAACTTGGCTATGAGAGTGCTAGGCATGGTTGGTTGTTGCATCGAACACCAAAGCGGAGATTCCTTGAAGTCCGGCACCGATCCTTGCGTTTGGCGAGTGATCAATCCCCCCACAGCAATCTTTCCCATCAGAGAGCATCCAAATTGAAACGGCGAGATTCAGGCATCTACCGACAAAAAAGTGGAGCTGTCTAAAGTAAGGCTCAAGCAGATTGCCGGCTTAAAGTTCGAAGGGACAGCTGAATTGAGGGGAAACCTGAGGCTTGATCCATGGACTAGAGTTGTGGCAATATATCATTTAAATAGCGTCCTGAAGGGGCACCTCAGAGCTTCAATTGACCCAATTTGGTCTCCTGAAACGTTAATTAGGTACTGAGCACTCGATTCCTTCAGAACTATCTACCAAACCACTACAGCAGGCGCCAAACCTTGACTCGCTTCGGATTCTCTTGCCTTTGGATTCAGACTCGCAAGCATTACTCCAATCTCTTGTATCCAAGATATCATTTGATATCGAATGTCTACGCTTCGGCTCTGTTTCGTACTGACACATCAATAAAAACAATATTCCATACCAGTACTCAAGTTCTCGGCTCATGGAACTTTTTGATGAAATTGAGAATCCCAGGCCTCGAGGTCTCGTGCAGACTTGACGGGACCAGTGGAGCAAGGCGAGGCATATCATATCGGCCATACTGGCTTATTATAGCGATCGTTCAGGCCTGGATTTCTAACCAAACATACAGAATCATTTCGGTGGCCTTTTGGTAGCTTTACACCCAACTTATATGCAAAGTGATTTGTAAAAAGTTAGCATTTCCTAAGAAAAAACTTACATTTTTTATAAAAAAAACAAATATTAAACTATCTCTTTTTAATCTAATGCATAAACTATATCTACCTACTAATATACTATATATCCTCTCCGTGTAATTATAAGCTAGGCTAATCTATCTTACACTTTTTTAATAATTATTTCTACAGTCTTTTTAAAATATATTTAATTACATCTGCTTCCCTCTATATACTTTATTGCTCCGCTTTCTCTATGCTGCTTATATCTATTTGCGGGGCCAGTCCAACATATTTAGGGTAAAAATTATATTTTTTTAAATAAAGATTAAGATATTACCTTCTCTCGCTCTACTTATTATAGTATCTTAATAATATCTTCATTTCATTTCCATATGTAAAACAATAGACATCACAATAAAGACACTTTACAATAAAAATAATAACTAAAAAGTAAACTACAATTGGGAGATCATGTTCCATTTCTTTTTGAACATTCCCCACGCTCCCCCTGGTCGCATGGTAAACGTCATCCTTCCGCTGCGCTTCAGGATATTTTTCGTAGTCTTGGACTTGCCCTACGGGGTTCAACTTATCATTTCGAGCCGGGGTAATAAATGGAAGCTTGGAGTATAATTTTCCCCGTCTCTTTTTAAATTATTCCTCAAGTTAATCAAATAATATCACATTTACAATCTTAATCATAATTCACAACAAAAAGTATGCTTTACTACAATGAAGCTATCACCACTTCCCTTTTAGGCAATCTTCACACTTGTCTAAAGTTCATACAATCACTTACTCACACATGCATAAAAATAAAATAAAATTAATACTACAATGAAGCCAACTTATCCAAAATAGTCTAATCTAATCTAATGCCATCGCTCTACCTCTCCGACGATGCCTGAGAATAACATCAGAATCAGAATCACTACTCTGCATTCCCTGATCTGCCGCAGAAACATAACCATTCTCTCCATCTAATCCACATTCACGACAATTAGAATGAATGCATCTTCCACTCGATAACAAACAAGTCACAAGAACATCCAAAGTAGACTCCATCTCCACTATCTCACTCTTCACACTCTTCATCTTAGCCCTCAAGCTAAGAATAAGATCACTCTCCGACATATTCAACAATGAAATAGTAAACTGATTTTGCCCCCCCGCAAATCCATCACGACTATCCATAAAAGGAGACTTCAAAACTCGATCTCCATCCAATTCACTTTCAGCACCACGCTTCAATTTCCTTTCCTGTTCTACATCAGCAAAGACATCATCGTCACAACGCTGTGCACAAGAAGGAGTACATGGATCATCACCTGGCTCATCCAACTTAGTTACACCGTCGAACCCATCCGATTCAGACTGCGAATCCGGAACAACAAAACTACCCTCCGCATACTCTCCGATGCCTATACTCACGCTGTTAGTAAAACAATACCATTATCCCAAATGGTTAAAGAAGAGAAAATACACATACTAGATACAGTCTCCTCCCCAGACTTGTTATCATCATCATCATCCACACAGCTCCTCTCTGTGAACTCACGAACACTCGCACGAGTCATCTTACCAGATTCCAATACTAATTTGTTTCTCACCACAAACAAATACAATAAAATTAAAAAATAAAATAAATCTACAACTCTCTATCTATAGAAGAGTATGATTATTAAATACAAAAAGTCCCCTTTTCTGTATAGACGCCTGCGTAACAATGCATCCGCATGAATCACTCCGTTCACAAACCTCCGGTCAAAATTCGTCTACTCACTTTCACATTCCAGTGAAAAGAAGAAAAAGACTGTGGGATCAGAGGTGGGCGAGCCGACCTCTTTAAATGTTTCCAACATTACAGTCTCCCTTGTGGGGTATGGTCTAGTAAGCGTTGCAACTGCCCAATTAAAAACCCCCTATGTGATGCCGCTAGTATCCCCTGGGTTTAGCACACGTCCAGCTTCCTTCCAATCAGCTTTCCTTACCTTTGCCTTTGACCCCACTATGTTGGACCAACGGCCACCTTAACCAAACATACAGAATTTATAAGAGGCCCCGGTACCTTTCCCATACTGCCAGTATGTAAAAGTGACTTTCAAAAAGTCAACATTTCCTAAGAAAAAACTGACATTTTTTGCAGGAAAAACGACTGTTGCACCAACCCAGCTTGGTCCAGTGCGTAAACTGTGTGTCCCACCCATTTTCACTCCCATCCGTCCGTGCCAATAACTCGTGCACCATTCCATTTCGCACTCCCTTAACAATTTCGCTTCCCACGCTCATTGTTCGTCTCCCCTCCGGTCGCCGTACAAGACTCGGGATCACTTTCGCGTCCGCTCAGTGTCATTCTGGTCGGTCCCCTCCCTTCATGTCGCTCGGATCCCCTCGCGTGGCCCAAAGAGAGTTTGGGCTTTATGTGATTAGAGTGTGCAACTAACCTTCGCCTACGGGCTCCGGTGTTGCTGAAGCTTATCCTTTTCACTATTTGGCAATATCACCTCCACTCACGTTCCGGTATTGCGGTGATCTTTCTTTTGCACCGCTTGAACATTCCCCACTACTCGCTACTCTCGTAGATGGAGAACGTCATCCTTCCGCTGCGCTTCAGGATATAGTTCGTAGTCATAACTCACTCTCCGAGGGTTATCATATTATTTAGAGATCTTGAATATCAGTCAAGTATACCACTTATTCTTCCCTCATTTTTATAATTTTAATTTGTAACCTAATGAGGGTGCGCATTAAGTGTTATGTACAACATGGGACACATAAAAAAAGTGAGGTTATCACCATGTCCGAAAAAGGAAATAACCACAACAATTACGAGTTTCCACTCCAAAAAAAAGAAAATTCAATAACTAACTAACTAACTATTTCCCAAATCCATTTTAATTCCAATTCCAGTTCCACGCACACGATCATCATCATTATTATTTCACCTAAATAAAATTCAGCACGAATACAAAAAAAATAAAAAACATATACTGACATGACCATCGCCATTAATCATCATCGCACCACTACTTGACGTTACTCCGCCTCCAAAGGAAAGAGCACAGGCAAAATCTGTATGCCACAAACCAACATGTCTCTCCGCATTAATCGGACACTGAGGGTTGTAATACCAGACAAAACCAGCTGGATTACCCATCTCTCTCCACTTGACAGAACATAGACATCCCACTAGCGTATCCATCTAATACCGTTGCCAAGCAATATAAAACCTTATGCGAAAATCGATATCGTAATCGTAACAAAGACGTGATTCGACTCGAAAAAAACTAGAAAGATAAACCTAGACAACGTCGTCACAAAACGAACGAGTAAAGTATTTCGCTACGCCACATCACACGTTAGCAAAAGATCTAATGTGCCTCACACAAGAATATCACAAAACCTAAGCCATAAACGATGGCAAAAAAACAAGGATGCTCTCTCCAATTGACCCGACAACTTGGGACCGAAGCAAAACCTAGTGAAAACATCACAGCCAACAATGAAACGTCGCCCACTAGCTCGACGTAGTGCCAATAATAAAACCCCTCCCATAGTTAAAAAATAAATATTACTGCGCGGGCTATACTAAAATACTCAGAGGGCTATAACTAATTAAATTTTACCTAAAGTTCAGCTAGCCTACGCTACCCCACTAAATTATAATATTAAGTTATAAAAAGCATAAACTATATACTAACTTAAATTAACCTTATATATTATTTAATTATTTTATAACAGCATTTTTAACTATATTTTAGGAAGCTATATAGTAAAAATAACTTTATTAACAGCCGATAAAATTAGTGCTATTGTTAAAGCCAGCGTTCTATTTATAGTTATACTACTGCTGCTTCCGTAAATATTACCTCTACAGCTGTTATTACTAACACATCCTTTTTTAAATCTATTTCCTTTAGTATTTATATTTATTTTAAATCTTTTTAACAACTACTGTAAGGCTTATTAACTAACAATTTTAATCTTTACAGCAGTCTAAATATAATAAATACTTAAATTTAAGCGCCTGCCGCTTTATTAAATTAAATTCAGTAGGGAAAAATACTGCATTAATAGTATCGCTACTGTATTAAGGGCCGCTATTAAATTAAGGCCTAAGATTGGCTGTAAAGTTATATTAACTAGCACTTTATAATTTTAAAGCAGCTAAAGCCAGCCTTAAAAGCTTTATATAATATTAAGGTCTTAAATTTAAAGAAGTAGTTCATTAATATCCTAAGATATACAATTAGTAGGCTTTTTATATAAATTTATAAAGAGAAATACTAAAGGCTTATTTAACTATTAGCGTAGATAGATTATTTTTTTTATTAAAGGGCTTCCTATTTAAAATTACTATTAAATAATATAAGCGTAAAAAAGAGTATATTACTGTATAAAATAATAGGAATTTTTATATAGCGGAAGGGTGTTTTTGTCACGACCCAACTCTTATGGTCGCGATAATAGGCCTATAGGGTAAGCGGAACCGGATTAACGATGGGCCGACTAGCTAATAGGAGCCAACTTGTATAACTCTATAGATAAGCTAGATAAGCCACGACTCTAGCAGCTCGTCCAACGAGCCCTATAAGCCTAAGATCAACTGGGTATATAAGTTTATATTTATATTACTTATTTAAATAGTTTAGATAGTTAGTTATTAATATAGTAATTAGATTAGATTTAGCTACTATATTTATTAGCTACGTAATATTAATAAGATAACGCCTGTAGCTGACTTAACTGCTCTGCTAATATAAACTTAGAACTTAAAGGTTTATTCTTTAGGAACAGTTAACCTATATTAATTTATAGGATCCGGTTTATTATACGTTAACAACTTTTGTTTGGATAGTTACCTTAGACCTATGGGTAATAAAAAGATAATATTAAATAGTTAAATTTTAAGTCCCGGACGTTAAAACTGACTATAAAAGTAAAGCCTAAAGTAACTACCCAGAAAGTAATATCGAAATTAAAAATAATATAGGTAACCTTTAACCCCCGCTTACATAAAAACAATAGTAAGTTAAGATCCTGGCCCTTAAAGTAGAAATTACCTTTTTTAAAAATAAAAAGAAGGAAAAAGAAAAAGTCTTTTAACCTAAAAGACCTAAACCTTACGATAGAGATTCTCGGAAGATAGATAAATATTTTACTAAGCTTAATATTTACTTTAGATATTTCTTAAATACCTTAGAATATAATAAAGATAAAACTATTTTTATAATCACCTACCTTATAGAAATAGCTGAGGAATAGGTATAACCTATTATAAAGGATTATAAATAAAACGACGCGGATATATAAAAGCAGTAAATGTAGGATATTTTTGAAAAATATATAAAATTCTATAAATAACTTAAGAAAACCTTTAGATTATTAAATAAAGAATAAAAAGTAGAAAGGGATTTTTAAAATATTAAGTAAAAAAGACCTCTCTTTAAATATACTATTGCTTTTATTTAGCTTTTGACTAAGGTAAATTGGATTAAAGATAGTAAAAAAGAATTTTATTATTAAAGCCTTAAACCTAAGGTTAAGGATGAAATGTTTTAAGTAAAACGGAAAAATATTCCTTTTATTAATTTCATTTAGTAATGTATTAACGTAGATAACTGTATTTAGAAACGAGATTAAGAAAAGAAATATAAGAAAAACAGAAATTTTTATATTTAAAGAAATAATTAGCTATAATACTAAAATAATAACGTTAATTAAAGAAGAAAATAAAATATTGTATCCTTAAACGACGGAAAACTAGAACTAATGGACTTAAGTATTATTAAAAAATAATATAAAAACGTTAAATATTTTAATTATAGAAAAAAAGAATATATTAAAAAATATTATAAAGTACTTAAGAAAGAAAGCGGTAATAAGTAGACCCCAGTACCTAAACTTAAAGAAAAAACGGTTAATATTATTAATATTATTCTATATAAATCCCTTAGTTAGACAGGATGTTATAATAATATATATAAAACCTACTTTAGTAAGAAATAAGGTATAGGATAATTCCTTAAAGTATTAAAAAGGTAAAACCTAAATGTTATTTAATAAACCGATGAATTTAGAAATAATGGAATTACTAATTAAAATATAAAAGAACTCTTTGATAAATTCGAAAACTTAACTAAATAGGGAAAGTAAGCTAAAAAATATAAAAAATAAAGAACTACTATTATAATTAAAAAAAATAATAATAGTCTTTTAAACACTGTATTATAGGAAAATTAAAAAGAGTATAAAAACTTAGAAGGAGAAATATATAAATTATACTATAAGTGTAGATTACGATAACTTAAAGGACTATATTATACTTATAGTATAATAGATAGAGACCTTAAATAATACTACGAGATTAAAGGAATTATTAAAGAAAACGAAAAATCTTTAGTAATAGACTTAATAAAAAACTATAAAGCCCTTAAGCTTTAAGAACCTATAAACGCTTTATGGAAAAATATTCTAAAGATTAACCTTAAGGAATACTAAAAAATAATATTAAAAAAACCTTATAAAGACTATAGATTACTTAAGTTATATAAACTATACTACTTTTATAGAATAA